TCAGTGCCAAATCATTTATGGGCACCTTTTAGAACCTAGTGATGACTACGACACCTCACCACTGCAGTTCTCCTGAAAGCTTTCCCAAGTTCATGGCATGGAACAAACGATAGATCCTTATGACAACAAATTTTTTGGGCAAAAAAATGGATTGACTTGTATTGGGTAATCCCCCAAGAAACACTGCCGTAGATGAGCTAATGAACCCATGATTGACCTACTCAAACTGGCGAAACTAATTTGGTTACTTAGTTATTTATTTGTTTATTCTACGATAATCGATCGCAAATACATGAATTTGAGATTGATTCGCTGAAACTAGTGGAAATATTTACTGATTTGTTTGTTTATTCTATTTACAACTACGAGTTGGGTAAGAGGATATTATGAGAAAGAAACACAATCCTCAAAATCTCAAGGGAGTATATTCGGAGTTTCCCGGTGCACAAAACTTCCGATCACTTGTTTAATTACTTATTTATTTATTTACCGAAGTGGATAAAACTTTGCGGGGAAGGGAGGATAGCGACATTTCTATAGTTCGCTTAGCGCTCATTGAGTCGTACGTGGTGAATATGACAGATATGTGGGGAATTTTTGGGCTTAGTTGCTACCAGGGCTCATCTCTAAAGATAAAAGCAATGACTTGGAGGTTGCATGGACATTGAACGACAATGGATAAGCCACATACACATCCAAAACTTTACTATGATTCCGATTGGAAGTCGAATGCAGGGCGCATACCAGATGATTGGGACGGCGAAGACTGTCCTTTTATTTGTCATGCTTTACATATGTAACATTTTATATGTATAAGTTGTAGACATGTTTGGGTGATGAAGCTTATTTTGTCTTCGACTTCTTGCATGCACTTGCCAAGCTCAATTACTCCATCTCAACCGATTTTATGATAGTTGAAAAAAATCAAAGTGGGAAAATGCATTCAAACATGGGACTATATACTTGATTGGCCACTGAATAAAAACAATGACTTGGAAGTTGCCTGGTGAAGCATCTGGTAAAATGAAGTGATCGCTGACATCATATCAGTGACTTCTTTATTGAACCAGATGCCTCATCAAGTTTATCAGAAGAAGAATAACCGATGCGGCTTGACCAGGAGTAGAAGCCATTTGGCACTTCAAAGACTACGCCATGAATCATATACCTTCTTCCTTTTCTTTCCCATAGATTCAGTCCCCATTGTTCTTGTAAGCCGTCTACAGTTCCCTCTATAGAAAAAAAAACCTTCTGCCACTTCTTTGGGCGAGTTCCTCCTTTATTACGTCCTGCCTCTTCTTTGTAGCTCATCGTAGTTTCTTCCATTGAACCTCGAGATCTGTTGCCTCCCTTATCGGTTGGATCGGTCGTCTCTTCAAAGCATGTCCGTACCATAGCAGAGGCTTCCCTCTCATTTTCGACTGAAAGAGGCTGTCTGCATTGCCGTCCTTGATTTCTGACCTATTCTAATTGTGCCCAACTGCAAGTCTTTTGAGCATCCTCATTGCAGCCAAGTGGAGTTATTTTCCATGGTAGCACTCCCTGGCGTGAGTCATCGTGGGCCTCACCACTTCCCCTCCTTCGAGCGTCCTGGAGCAGAGGACACCTGTTAACTTTATCCGTGCCACACTTACTCGAGCCCTTACAACCCTGTCTGCGCTACCGTCAGCCAGCCAGGTAGCCCTTAGAAATCAAATGCGCTGCACTCTCTCAAAGGCTTCCCCAACTAAGATCAGCTTTGTGCAGTCTTCTGAGCTGAGGAACTTGGTCTTTTTCGCACTCAGCCGCAGCCATTCTTCGCCACAATTTCCCATTTTCACACTTCGTACTTCTGCCTGATTCCCGCCATCATAGCTATATCACTAGTGTGAGCGATGGTTTTCAATGATCCATCTACTAGTCCTTTTGTTATAGCCCCCACTGCAAGCAAGAAGAGAACTCAAAACTGATCCTCGTTTTACCCCAACCGTGACGTATATTGCTTTACTGAGCCTGAGGAGTGAGAATGACCATTCCGGAGCTCCCCTTGATGAGGGAGACCAGGTGTTTTAGAACGTCTCGTTCGCGGACCGCTCTGTAAAGGGCATATTGCGGACGTGGTCAAATGCTTCCAGCAGAACGAGGAAGAATGAGAATTAGGTTCTACTCTGTTCCCGACACTTCTTCATCACTTCTCTAGTTATGGGGATAGAATCCATTGTAAACCTTTCTGGCATGAGGCCGACCTGCCCATCTGAAGTTAGGCAAGTCCCCGTAAGTTTGAGTAGACCAACCGTATGCACAGTTTAATTGTGCAGCAGTTCACCATCACCCTTTAGTTGGGACATTCCATTGTTCCAGTACTGCTCTTCCAAACACCTGAGATTCTTTTCAATGGTCACAAAGTTCAACAATTGAGTTCGCCACCTAATCCCATTCTTGACAAACGCCTTCTATGTGTCGATAAGTACTCCGAGTGAAACAAAAACCCCGCCTATCTTCACTTCCCCAGTTGCTTAGAGGGCCTCATCTTCTGTACCGAGTGCCTTCGCCTTTACCTGGGAGCTGTTATAACAGTGGGATTCTCTGTTTGGGACTGTCCACGTCCCCTCTCCACCCACGCCTGGCCTTTGCCGGCTTTAAAATTGCTTCTTCGCTGTTTTTCACAGTGCTCACTACTCTTCCTTGAGTGGCCTGGTGCCGTGATTTGACCACCCTAAAAACAAACTACTTTCCTTTTTCGACCATCGAGCTTCTCGTGCAAGGCATCCTGTGTTCTTTGCTTCCCTTGCCTTAGCTGTCTACAAGGTCTTCGGAAGCTCACTTCTCTTGCCAGCACTTGTATGGGTCCTTTTTCTGTTTTACAACGCGCTGAGCTTCATTGTCCCAGAACAATGTCGCCTCATCACCTTTAAGTCCATCTCGAGCTTTCCACGATGGTTATATTTTCTATAAGAGGCGGTTGCTGCGAGGTCAGATCTTGACGAGGCTCAAACTTGATGTCCTTTACGGTTCTGAGGGAGAACCTTCTTACTGCAAGGTCTGGGCTGTGGCAAGGTCGACCACCCTCTCTTTTTTCTGTTCTAATTTTCGAGTAGGAGTCAGAATAAAAGAAGGATGATAAAGATAGTCCCCTTCCAGAGTTCATCTGATGGCTTCGTTACGGCTCAGGAACTCATCCTCATCCTTCTCTCAGCAGCCAGCTGCATAGCGTGCAAGAGTACTACTGCCCAGTGCGATCACTCGGCCTGTCAGCCAGGGCCTGACGCTCGAGGGTCCGGGAACTTCTCCCTTGTCACGGCGTCGCACACGCCGCACCCGTCGCGTATCGCAGGATTGCGATGGAAGACTGGAGCGCGCAATTTGTGAGGTAGGGAGTCCTTTAATTATTTGAATTGGCTGACCGCTCTCTTCAAATTCAATACAGCTCTTGATCGCCGCTTACATAGGAGGAGTCATTTTAATCAATCAAGTCTAATAAACATGCAAACGAAAAAGAAACAGAAGAAAAACCGATCGAATCCAATAAAAAAGCAAGGCAATCAACGAAAAATATCGCGTCCTATAGATTGGGGGGAGGCGGGGTGAGTACGGTAATTGCAGTGACATTTGCGGCATGCCGCAAGGGAGAATGCCGCGATAGGGGAGAAGTTCCGTTACCCGACGCTCGACTATCTCGGCTCATGGGGCAACACCATATTAATACCATACTTCTCATACTTTGCTATTTTCTTTATACCTTCAGTTTCATCGTTGTGCTTTTTACCTATATAGCACATCTTACACTATTCTATTACTAACCTTCCTCTTCCCTAACCGATCCTCACAGAAAATCCTAACGAATTAACGAAAAGCATAATTCGTTTGAGTGAGCGGTGGAACGACTCGTGTATTGTTTTTCTTAATTTCAAATATTTGCAGATATTGAACTTCTTTACCAATACCTTCCTCCCTTATTCTTTTTGATATGCTCCTCTTTTTTGATAAGGCTCCCTAGCACAATGAACCCATTGAATTCGGGGTTGTTAACAACTATCGATATAAGCGAGCTGCTCACTACTAACTTTTCCATTTTTGATTTTATTTCTTTCCTTTTAGTCACTTCTTTTGCGATTTTGACGGCTACTCTACCCAAGGAATCATAGAAGAAGCAGGTGTTATTTATGGATAGAGAGTTCGGAACTGTAAAGGATGCTGTCCGGAATCCTAACTGCTTGCAAGACCCGGCGGTCAAGAAACCACACCATCCTCAAAATCTTGTCTCAAAAAAATCTCAAATCACAAAAATCTCAAAAAATCGGTCTATTCCCAAAAAATTAGAAGAAACAACTAAGTTTGTAATTCTAATGTTAGACTGCACCTTGAAATTCACTATTAATGGAGCTCCAACTTCTGAGTAAAGCTTAGAGTAGAACAATGAATTAGCTCAAAATTGAGTAGACATCCCAAGGTTTCAATGGTTCTTTGGCCCTATTAATTTGATGACTGCCTGTGCAAAAAGAGAATCGTGCGGATGTTTGTGATGAAAGGTGTCATATGAACACCTCGACGACTGCTCTCCTCTATGGCCGACAGCCCTGAAAGATCTGCCTGTGAGGCATATGTTGGTAGTAATCGTCTTAATCAGAAAACTTCTGCTCAGCTGAAAAGGTTCTCAACGAAGACAGGTAGAGAAGCTGCTAGTGTATTGTTCGAGAAAATGGGCGAATGGAACAAGGCGAGGATCTGGAGCCGCTTGTATGCAAGCATTTCTACCCACACGAATGAAGCGCCAAGCATAGGCTCAGAAACTCATCACGAAAGCTCTGAAAGTAATCGAACAAGTCTCACGTATTCCATTGCAACTAGCAACTCCAGAACTCGTCAGCACTTTTCCTTCATGCTTGCTTCTTTGATGCTGATATAACTCCGAGACCTTCGATATTAGGGCCTGCCAAACAATACGCATTTAATGTTTAGGGGTTTCCGAAGACCTCTCATTCATGCACATTTTATTTCAGTAAACTGTTCCGTGTTAGAAACTAAAAATCCCTTGTTTCGCCTCCGCAAGTGACGATGACTCGCGCAGTGAGTGATTTGATATTCTTGATTGCTGAGATGAAGCCGTCCAACTGAAAAATAACTTTTAAACTTCAGCATAAGTAAAAATGGGGATGCTGCTTACAGAGCAGAAGAAATAACGTCTAATAAGTTGCTGCCATCGCGACTCACCTGGCCCACATCGCAAAGCGCCAGGCATATATTATAGTACCAGGTTATCTCGGGAGACGGGCAGTAGGAACGGTTTTGTGTGATCGATCCGCCGCACGCGGCTGTCGCGGACTATNGCATAATTCTACTGTTAGTTCTTTTGTTTCTGCATTTCTTACTTGCTGCTGCTTTCTGTTCCATTCCTTAGCGCGCGGCTCTCTTCCACCGCGACTCGACACTTTCGTTCCTACTGCACCACACCCGGTTATCTCAAGTGTCCGCACAAATATGCTTTCGACCAAACCTGTGCAGCGGTAGTAGCGGATTAAATGATTCCCCCAGTGCACGTACATTCAGAGCATGAGCAACCCCGTTGACCCATCATTATGCTTTGCAGTCATAAGCACTTTGGTATCGCAAGAGAGATTGACGCTGATGGTCGTGTAATTTCACAAGAGAAACGGTACTATGTGTACCTTTTCACATTTTATGCCACGGATGGTATAGACGGCAGCATACTTTCCATCGATGCTCTCTGCTTTCAAATCGATCAGCCGAGGATCGTAGAAGACATCATGGCTTTCCTCAAGCTGCTCCACCTGAACAAGTTGTTGGCACCGTTCTAGAAATGCTACACTATTATAAGGCGTAATCATGTGGCTGCTCCTTTTACGTTTACTTACATTTGATCTGACTGCCTGCAGAAAATAAGGAACCATGTTTGCTTCGTAGTCGAACCAGGTTACTATGGTAACTTGTGCTTCTCCATCTTGGTGTTCTCCTCCAGCTGCAGCTCGAGTCAACCGTCTCGGAGCTGCTGCCTGTAGAATAGGAGACTAAACAGAGCACGGGGCCCTTTTGAAATTCGTATTTCTACTTTTCACTTACGTCTTACACTTCCCCCAGGTAACTACCCTACGAAAGCTTTCACCTCTCTGTAAAAGGCTTACCAACGAAAAGGCGAAGACGCCGACAAAGACCGCTAGACGAAGCATTGGAATTTGGTGCCTTGATGAATTTTGGGCACCCTTTTATACGCTCCGGGAGTGATTGGGAAACAGTTGAAGCTATTCAAATGTAAATGACATCGAATAGAAGCAGTCAGAAAACTGTCGTTCTAACAATAATAACTAAGCAGTGATAATGAATACATCACGAATCGTTCGTTGCTGATCAATACAGCTCGCCTCATCAGTGCCAAATCATTTGTGGGCACCTTCACTGCAGTTCTCCCGAATGGTTTCCGAGTTCATGGCTGATTACGAATAACAGATTCAAGTGACAACAAATTTTTGGGGGCGAAAGAGTAAACGGACTCGCATTGGGCATCCCTTGGGAAATACAAATGAATTCGCTCTTGTAAAGATTGTGGACTTATGAGCCTATAATTGACCTATTGGACTAGCGAGACTGATTTGTTTACTTTCCTATTCATTTTTACGGACCTTCTCCACTGAGGGTCCTCTCTCACCGAAAGACCCCGCCGGTCAGCGACGAGGCAACGTAGAGCGTCCTCAGATGGTGGATAGGGGAGTAAATCGCCGATCAAAAGGCGCCAGTACTTGCCCAAAGACGCAGGGGTTTCAGGGGATGAACTCCTTGATCCTGTTGTGTTGGTCCATATACCTTCTGTTTCTCGCAGGTGTGTCCACGAGAACGTGTGTGGAGAGTCTGCGGATGCAGTCGCCCATCGCTTCAGCCAAAAACTTGCATTCGAGAGACCGGGATGTATTTGGGAGGCGATTGGGGACTGCCTTCAAAAGCAGTGCCCCTCGTCCACTTCAGGACAGCCTGACTAACACCCGGAGTCAATCCAGCCTCCACATTAGAGCTTGTTACGCTACACATTGGGTATTCACTTGCCAAAAACAGTAATATGGATTGGACTAATTCCCTTTCTTTCGGAAGAAAACTTTCAGAAGAACTGCAGTGAAGGTTTCCACAAATGATTTGGCACTGATGAGGCGGGCTGTATTGATCAGGAACGGACGATCCGTGTTGCATTCATTATCATTGCTTGATTATCATTGCTAGAACGACAGTTTTCTGACTGCTTCTAATCGTTGTCATTTACATTTGAATAGCTTTGAATGTATTCCAATCACTCCCGGAGCGGATAAAAGGGTGGCCAAAATTCAACAATGCACCGAAATCCAATGCTTCGTCTGGTGGTCTTTGTCGGCGTCTTCGCCTTCTCGTTGGTAAGTCTTTCACAGAGCGGTGAAAGCTTCCGTGGGGCAGTTACCTGAGGAAAGCGTAAGACGTAAGTGAAAAATAGAAATTCGAATTTCAAAAGGGTTCCTTGCTTTGCTCAGCCTTCTGTTCTACAGGCAGCAGCTCCGCGACAGTTGGCTCAGGCTAGAGCTGGAGGAAAACGCCAAGAAGGACAAGCTCAAGTTATCATAGTAACCTACTTCAACTACGTAGCAAGCATGAGTTCTTTTCAACTTTGGCTAGTAAGATCAAATGTAAGTGAAAGTATAAGGAACAGCTTCATCTCCTACTAGTTCTCCTTATTCTCCTGTGACACTCTGAAACGGTGCCAACAACTTATTCAGGTGGAGCGGCTTGAGGAAAGCCATGATATTTTCTACGACCCTCAGCTAATCGATGTGAAAGCAGCGAACATCGATGGAATGTTCGGTGCCGTCTATACCATCCAGGGTGTGAAATGTGAAAAGGTACACACAGTACTGTTCGTTATGTGAAATTTCCCGTCCTTCAGCGTCAATCTTGCGTGCAGGAGTGTTTATAACTGCCCAGCATGATGATAGGTCAACGGGGTTGCTCTTGTTCTGCTTGTAATCGGAATGAATGTACTGGGGCAAGCANGGTGCCATCAACTTGTTCAGGTGGAGCGGCTTGAGGAAAGCCATGATATTTTCTACGACCCTCAGCTAATCGATGTGAAAGCAGCGAACATCGATGGAATGTTCGGTGCCGTCTATAACATCCAGGGTGTGAATTGTGATAAGGTACACACAGTACTGTTCCTTATGTGATATTCCCCGCCCTTCAGCGTCAATCTTGCGTGCAGGAGTGTTTATAACTGCCCAGCATGATGATAGGTCAACGGGGGTTGCTCTTGCTCTGCTTGTAATCGGAATGAATGCACTGGGGCAAGCAAGTTGATCGTACCTACCATCGCTGGACTAATTTGGTGGAAAGCACGTTCGTGCAAACACTAGTCATAACTTGGTACTAAGCGCCCGGCCTTTTGAGATTAGGGCTACGTGATCTTCGTAAGCAGAAATTCCATAAGCGCTGATATCTCTGCACTGTGAGTAGCGTAACCATTTTTAGATAAGCTGAGGTTTAAGAGTCATTTTTCAGTTGAACAACTTCATCACAGCAATCAAGGGCTGCTTTCATAGTCCGCAGGCAGGCGCGCTGGCAGTGCTAGGGGGGAGGAGGGNAAGGGGCTATCATCACTCACTAAGCAAGTCACTATGAAGTGTGGCGGCAAAACAAAGACTGTAGCTTGACATATTGAGCAGTTCAGTGAAATAAAACGTGCTAAAGTACTTATTTCATAATTATGAAATCTAAAGGATGGACGTACCCGCTTCAAAGCACACTGCGGCCCTGAACGTTTATTTTTTATTTGCCTTTCTGCCTTTTTGAGTAACAGGTAAGAGGAAATATTAGATGGCAGAACTTCTTTACCTCTACTTCCTCCTTTTTTCTTTTTGACATGCTCCTTTTCTGATTGAGCTCCCTAGCGGAATTCGGGAACTGTAACAGCTATCCTTCTTTATATAATTCGGTAAGTGTATCTGTTGGTGTGTCGGTGTGTGTTTGATCGGAAATTCATCACTCCTGTTCCCGTGGACCTAAAGACTCCAAATTTGATAGGGGTCCGGGGGACAGGATTGGCATGCTATGGCAGGTAGAAGGACCTGTCTCCGTCTACAGGGGATGGGGCACGCGCTATGGGAATTTTGGACCACAAATTCATAATTCCAGCTTACGTGGACCTCGAGCGTTGAAACCTGGTAGGTGTACAGGAGGCAGGATGGGAACACTTATGATAAATAGCGGGACCAGACCCCACCTACGCGAGGCGGGGCGTGCGCGATAGAGCTTCTGGACGGCAAATCCATAACTCCTGTTTACGAGGACCTAGAGCGTAGTAGCGGATCAACTGGTTTCCCCAGAGCATGTATATTTAGAGCAACAGCGTTGACCCATTATTATGCTATGCAGCTATAAGCACTTTGGTACTGCACGCAAGATTGACACTGATGGTCGTGGAATTTCACAAGGGAAATGGTGCTATGTGTACCTTATTACAATTCACGCCATGGATGGTATAGACGGCACCGAACATTCCATCAATGTTCTCTGNCTATTATAAGGTGCAACTATGTGACTGCTCCTTATTTATCTGTCTATCTGCAGAAATTAAGAACCCATGCTTGCATCGAAGTTGAAAAAGGTTACTATGGTAACTTGTGCTTCTCCATCTTGGTGTTCTCCTCCAGCTGTCCCTCGAGTCAACCGTCTCGGAGCTGCTGCCTGTAGAACAGAAGGCTGAACAAAGCAGGGACCCCTTTTGAAATTTGTATTTCTACTTTTCACTTACGTCCTACACTTCCCCCAGGTAACTGCCCTACGAAAGCTTACACCGCTCTGTAAACGACTTACCAACGGAAGAGCGGAGACGCCGACAAGGATCACCAGACGAAGCACTAGAATTTGGTACGATGAACTTTGACCATCCTTTATCCGCTCCAGGAGTGATTGGTATACATTCGGTGCGCATGACCTATCCGTCTACTTATTTCTTGCTTATTTGACAAATAATCTACCCATATCAAAATGTGTTTTCCCGGGAGTTCGAATCCGGTCAGTCTGGAAGCCATTGAAATCTGTGAAAGACAATCGGTCTCGATTCTAAGCACTCCTGCGCACCTCTTCCTGGAGTTTCAGGGTTTGAAACAGGAAGATCTATAATAAACTCAATCTGACCAACCAATTGGGATCCTTATATAATAATTCTATGGAAGCTTTTCAAGGTTTCAAGAAGACCGTACTCGGAAATTCTATGGAAGCTTCCAGAAAACACCTGAAGACATTTGGACTGCTGAGAATTTTGGCAGGGGTTTGCGATAACCTGATGAAAGCGGTAGAATCAGCAATTGGGGAAAATTATCGAGTTCTTGTACTCAGCCTCGAAAGAGATCGTATTGAATCTGATTTTCGAGCTTCTTGGTTTCGCTGTGCCCTATGAACTGCAGATTTCTGTGGCTACATAAGCTTCCTCAAGTTCACCCGCCTGGCATCCTCCATTGTTAGCTAGTTGCTCAATAAAAACATGTAATTGTACTCCATATTCACTAATCGCGATTGCAGCAGTAGTTCTAGAAAAGTTCAATGGAAAACGTGGTAATCCTTCCGATCTCTATAATCATTCTCTTGCATTTTGCGCCTTAATGTCCATCCTTTACAAAGAACCCTAACCAAAAATCCTCCATGGCTCCTTGTGTACAGTAGCCGTCAAAATGGCAAATAAAAGTAACCATAAGGAAAAGAAATCGAATCCGAATTGAGGAGCAAAGCAGTGAGCAGCTCGTTGCATAGTGATAGTTGTGAACATTCCCAAACTTCGATGGTTTAGTTGTGCTCGGAGGCTTAATCAAAAAATGGGAGCATATCAAAAAGAAAACGTCTATTCTCTGTACATCGACAAGTATGAAATCACTGAGATCGGCCTCGTAGCTCCGATCACCTTCAAACCTTCGGTGGTGTTCACAATAAAACTTTGTGAATAGAAGTTTTCCCGACTTCCTGACCCGGCGAATTCACGTCCTTCAGTTTACTACCACCACCCTACCCATCTTCCTCCGCCCTCTATCTCTTCCAGCCTATTCTTCCAATCTCAGTACTTACTTGTCCGACTCTTTCCTATGACTTTTGATTTTTCATAGTCCCTTCTTTCCACCTTTTTCCTTTTTCCTACCTTTTTCACTTTCCCCTTTCATAGTCGGTTATCGTTCAGCTGCAGTTTTTTCTCNTCGACAAGTATGAAATCACTGAGATCGGCCTCGCAGCTCCGATCACCTTCAAACCTTCGGTGGTGTTCACAATAAAAGTTTTTGAATAGAAGTTTTCCCCACTTCCTGACCCGAGAACTTCACGTTCTGCATCCCTGCCCCTCTTCCTCCGTTATCCATTCTCTTCCTGTGTATTTTGTTGTTATTCTTCCCATCTCGGTATTTACTTGTCCGACTCTTTCCTATGACTTTTGATTTTTCATAGTCCCTTCTTTCCACCTTTTTCCTTTTTCCTACCTTTTTCACTTTCCCCTTTCATAGTCGGTTATCGTTCAGCTGCAGTTTTTTCTCGGAAAGTTCCCAGGTAGCCTAAATTCATTTTCGCTCACGCGGACATGGGTTCGATCCCAACATGCGGTGGTAACTTGATTTGGATTTTGAATTTGATTTCGGACCGAACATCGCTCTCAGTTGTCAATGAAGCACTCTTCTTTAGAGATTCTTTGCAACACACCCGAACCGGATATGGTTCACGAAGGAATTATGAGAATGGAGGAATGGGTCCGTTGACAAGCAAAGTAATAAGGCGTATAAGGCAACAGAGTAATGTCATCCTTCTGTACTGTTACCCTCCAGCTCCTCTAGCTGCACATGAGATGGGGAGTGTTGTGGTGTGGTGCAGCTGGATGCTCCAATTGAGGCCTCATTCTAAGATTGAAATTTTTCTCGTATGAAGGCGCTCCGCGCTCAGACAAAAGGGTTCGTCGGAAGAGGGACGGGGGTCCAGGGAGCTGCCGTTATTCGGAAACTGCAGCCCTGTGGGCAGACCTTCTAAATGGTCGTCGTCGAACGGAGACTTTTGGGTACCGATTCACTGTGGAGTGAAAGTGTGGGCTTTCCATCAGTCAGTCAGAATCTATCACTCATAATTCATTGTTGTCCTTGGATCCGAGCTGCCCGATTTGGTGCCAGAAGATATAACGGTAGTCGTCATAGCAATTTTCTCGGGAAATCGCTAAAAATTGTTTTGGCCCAGCCAGGTTTCAGTTGTGGTCGTGTGACTGTAACTCGCCCTTCATCGCTCTGGGTCATTAGTCTCCGTTTTTTCTTAGCTCTTGGAAGCTACCCCGAACATTGTTTATCGCAGAGGGAATCACAACCTGAAAATGTTCCATGACCAGGTGGTCTCCATAATAAGCCAACCCCCTCTAACGAACGGCTTCGATCGCATTCAGGACAGCTTCCAGCCATTCAGAACTGATAGACGACACTAGTTACGACTAGTCAGTCTACTCCTGTGTTTTGTTAACGCCAGAGAACTGCTTGCCTGGAAGGCGCCCCAGTGGTTCGATCGTTTTCTTCTTAAAAAGGTTCCCAGTCGTTCTTACCTTAGGAGTTGATATGATAGTGAGGACGGGCTCGAACAGATCCTACAATTTTCCTATAGCTCATCATAGGGTGAAGGAGGACGAAAGGAAGTGGAACTTTCAACGAGTGTATCACATGAATGATTAGCGTTTCTTCATTTGATCACAATAAGTCAATGGGGAGTGGTGGACTTTGGACCAAACCGGGTCGTCTGCCTTCTCCATCCTGGTCCATCCCAGATTATTGGTTCAAGCCTGCAGCTAGACCGTTAACCATGTTTTCCCAATTTTTCTTTATTTATTCACTTATCTTCCATGTTATTGATTCAACCCTGTGGCTAGACCGTTAACCATGTTTTTGTTAGTTACCATAGTTTTTTTGACGCCGTGCACTTCCGAGTTATTAGAAATCCGTTATCCCTTCTGTTTTGCTTTTTCATTTGAAAATCTCGAAATCAGTTATTTTAGGTGAATGATGGCATGGAACTCAACTCAATTGTCTGCTGCTATGGAATGAAAAAGAAGCCTGATGGAGGAAGGAAGTAGATGATGAAGAGTTTTGTCAGGAACAGGAACGTCGAGGTGAGTGAGATCTTCGTAAAAGCTGAGATGTGTCAGGAATTGAACAGTCATTTGGCT